CAACTTCAAAGTATTTGAATAAAACACTTTAAAGGTTTAAAATGCGATATGTTTGAGGTAAACTTGTTTGAAAATTATTTTTAAATATGGCTTGACATTTCGGATGTCTTGCAACAGTCGTGGTCAGGGGAGACGCCCTGTCACCACAGCTGCTGACAAGCATCCGAATTGCTGCTGCTGGCTGCTGCAATAAATTTCAAACAAGTTTATTTAAATGTTTACTACTCGCTAGACAGTATTTAACTTCAAAGTAAACATATACATAATAAAAAAGATTTTTGCGTCAATTTATAATAAGTAAGAATTATATTAAAGGAAGTTTACATCTAGAAATTCTTTTGATAAAGCGAAACGAGGTGATTTGAATAAGAAGCGGTCGTGATGCAAATGTTGTGGTAATTTGTAGAAGACGAATACGTCGGAACGAGGGAAACTCGATACTGACCGTACAGCCTTGGGCGATTCTCGTATATCATTAATTTTAAATAGTTACATTTAAAGATAGGGATATTAGATAAAAAAAACTGACTCTTACAACTCAACATAGACTCTAATTTAAACTGTTAAGAATCTTTGAAGACTTATTTTCGCATATATTATTTACTAGCTGTGTCAGCGACTTCGTCCGCGTAGAATAGTTGTTTTGGACATCCAAATTTATTTTTGCAAACCTCTACACTCTGACCCGACGTTCGGGCCCCGTAATTTTTGCAAATTAGTCTTAAAAGGTAGACATATAGTGTTGCGGCCTTTTTTTTGATAATTTAAAGAGGAATCATTCTTTCATACATATTTTTTGCGCGTCTTGAACCGTTTTCGCCGCGTACGCATCTGGAACCCAGAGAGATGAAAATTTCCCCCATTTTGTTCACATTTATCGCTGCATCTTCGCTTCTAAAAAAATTTCGGTTCGAATCCGTAGTTCCAAGTTAGACATTAGCGCGTTCAAACATACAAACTCATCAGCTTTACATATTAGTATAGATACATACATACATAAATGTATATGTATATACTCTTACAGATAAACTAATTATATGTACTACTATATACTTTATGACATAGGAGTACAAACGAGCATGACTTGCACTTGATGGTACGTGCCATATAATCTGTTCTGGATTTGGATATTCGGAAATCCACTGATTGAAACCGAAACGCGACAAAACTTGAAGGATTTTTTTGGTGATGGTGGCTCGTAACCAGATATCCAGACGAAGTCCAATATATATCAGAAATGTTTAACATTGAACAAAAAGTAACATGTTGGTTCTGGTGGGGTTCGAACCCAGGACCCGTTTTTAACCATATGATGCTACTAGTACACCAACGAGCTTGTCATCTATTGGCATTAGTTATGACAAATTCAAATTCAAAACTTCTATTGCCATTATAAGATATTTACCAACTTATAACTACAACAAGCTAAAATTACATTTATAAGAGTGATATTTTATTAATATAATTTGTCTTTATTGTCATAATAATAAAAACAATATATTTAATACCAGAAATAAAAAGCAGAACAGATGTGAAAAGAGTTATTAATAAAAATGTTTGTTTTTTATTTTTTCTCGTTGCAAAAACTCTAGTATTCAATTCTAATTTCAAAATTAATGTATTCTATTCTAATTTCGAAAAAATACAATTCCATTTTTAAAAAAGCACATTACATTTTACCAGAATCATCTTCATTTCCGGCTCGCTTCCAAGATTACGGAATTCTTTGAGGCTGCGGCGATAAGGGGATTTGCAAATAGACCTCCGAGAGACTCTCATGGACACCCGATAGAGCTGACGTAAATGTTATCGACGCCGATAATACAGAAGCCCTGTTATATTTGAATTAATTTAAATAAATACATATAAAGAAATAGATATTTTTTTATTTGTTTCAATTGGTCTAATTATAGCAATGTATAACTTTACTTTAACGAGATTAACGAGTCGTGGGTTCTTTGCAGGCATTCATAATGGTAGGAATTTCGAGATTCTATAAGGTGGTCCTACACTGTGACCTACAGTGTGAGGATTTATTTCGGCGTAATAAAACATTACCGCTGGATGATGATGATAGATCATATCTTATGTTACTCCAGTTCAATCACCCCATCGACAGTCCACGTGTGGGACTGCGTAGCTGAATAGTAAAACCTACTATTCTATCTATCTCTATTATCGGATTGTCAAACGGGCACACAACTTTATCTGCCAAAAAAAGATTAAAAAAAAGAGAGAACACCGTTTTGTAGCCCAGTTTTTCCAACATACTAATTAAGATGAAACAGATGGCGCTCGGCGTAGTCGTAGTAATAACATAAAAATAAAATTACATTTCTTAAATTAAAAATCGATAATAAATTTTAAAAAGTTACGACTCGCGCAGTACTTGGTTACAAATCGCTGAGGTTGCCGGTTAAACCGGAGTCGAGGCGAGGAGCTCACTCACGAGCTCCTCAAGGATTGGAGGGAGGACGGCCAAAAGGCTGTCGTTGCTCTGTGGCAAGAACATCTTCCCACCTCTCGGGTAGGCGCGCATACGCTTCGCGATTGCGCCCGTCCTGCCCGAGTTGCTGAGCGGGGAGGGCGAGGGAGACTGCTCCCGACGCCCCCGCTCTCTGACGCAGGAGACTTCGGCGGCGCCGGCGCGATTACGGTCTTAGGACCGAGCTAGGAGACGTGGCCATCGACCGGCCACGTAGGGCGAACCGCGCGCGTTGGTAAACAGTCGATTCCTCCAAGTAAAAAAATGGATGCCGGTTTAAAACCTACCCGAGTCGTTTTTCTTTTTCAATTTATTTTCAACTCATATAGTGCCATCATGTGATTTTTTTTTATTTGACCACTTTTTGCTTTCAAGTGATTCATTATCAATTTTCCCACTTGAAAGTTCACGATCCGATGAAATATAGATTTAAATATTATAGGATATAGGTAAACCCTATTTTTTAAACTTCTATTCCACTATGTAACTATTAAGAACTTTTTAAGGTTTGTTTGGCAGGGTGTGATTGCTGTATTTAGTGCAGTTGATCCACTGACAGAACTTAAATTAATATAAAGAACAATAATCAAATGCAGGGGTTTACAACATTTGTTTATCGTTCTTCTCTTGTTTGTGGTCTCTAAAGTGGCTTTAATTCGATTCAAAACGATTGAAATGAAGTTTGGCGAGAGCTCCCGAGGGCCTTGGTAATTTATTCCTTCTGCAACTCCAAGCGCGACTGAACATTTGTAGATGTCCGTTACGGCTCACTCGGCAAGCCAGAAACTTTGCTATTTCGACTGGTTCAATATTGACGCCGAAATAATTACATTGAAAGCACTTGCAACTTTTTACTGATCAGAAAAGAAGACTATTTTAAATACCTTCAATAGTAATTTCAATATATAACATAACTAGCTGTGCCAGCGACTTCGTCCGCATAGAATAGTTATTTTGGATGGCACAATTTGTTTTTGAAAATCTCATCTGTAGGTATACATTTTACCTTACCCAAAACGTCGGTTGCGTCTTGTCGTTCTTGCATTTTATTATTAAAAGAAAGACGTACTGTCGCGAAGAAATTTTAAATCAATAAATGATTAAGGAATCATTATTTCTAACATATTTTTTGGGCATTTTGAACCAGTTTCGTATAAATACACAAGGTCGCAAGAATAATTTTCCCCTTTTTTCAACATTTCTCGTTGTTTCTTCTCTCTTACACGTAACTTTTCATGATTCAGCTTTATGTACTAGTATAGATCTGAGGCAAGTTCTTGTTAGGTACTTTACAAAGTATATTTCAGCAATTTACATTTAGGGGGTGGGGGGAGGAGTGGCCTTTTATACGACAATGATTACATCTATCATATATATTAAAAATAAACACGTACAATGAAATTTAGAAAGAATTATATATTTTTAAATACAATTCCGCTACTTTTGTCCTTTTATTTACATGTATTTTCAGATAGGTGCCAGAATCATCCCAATTATGTTCAGTGGAGGCAAAAAACAGTGTCGTAAATAAGATGAGGAGCTATCAAAGTGTGAATAACACAATATAAGGCCGTTACGGATGAGTTAGCTCGCTACAAGGGGCCGCCATCTTAAGTACAATGTATGAATATTCTGAATAGACGAGTGTATTTTTCAGTAATATAGTTGGTGTGTTTATTATAACAATGAATTAAATATGACACAGAAATGCAAGTACAAAAAAGCCTTGCGGTAAATTCTAAAATGATTTTTATTGAAATTCCTCTAATATTTATCAAAATGAATACGCTGTTATATAACTTTAGTTACAATTTTATCAAATACCTTAAACGGTCAATATATTTTAAAATATACATGTTTAAGGGCTCTCTGAAAATTGGTTTCCAAAAATCGATATTACACTAAGAAGCCCTTGTAAGTAATCACTCTTTAAGCATTGTATTTTTTATAACAGAGAAAAACAGACAAGCATATCGTTGACAATGAAAGATACTAGTAATAATACTATCGAACTATTTTGGCTTCGGATATTCGGAAATCCACAAACTGAATTGAAAATCAAAACCTGAAACACGAATCTCCATTTCCCTTCTTAATCTATAGACGATGATGCGTGATTCGGCAATATCCTTATTTTCTAGAGAAAGTCTAACATGTTTAGAAAACTAGACATTTCTAGAAACATGTAATAACCTTCCATCCGTCGATTAAAAGCTATACATTCCTGCCATTGAACGAGTAAGTCAATAAGGTTCTTTAGAATATCTGAAACACTTTTAGATTCGCCGTCCTCAAGTAAAAATAGATATTATAAGTATTATTAGTTTCTTTGATCTTCACTCTACAGAACCCTTGGTTGAGATCATCCAAAGGGCCATTCGATAACATCTAAAACATTCAGCTGTTTCGCGTTTATAATACGACGCTAATAAAAATTTATTCCCCACTAAACCCGTTATCGCACGCGCGGTATTACACATTTTTATCGCTTATTTCTATTTTATTTCGAGGGGATATGGCGATGTGTCGATTTGACGAAGTTATGAATATTTACAAATTCATTACTGCGTTCTCTTTTATACCCAATTCGATGGCAGATGTCAAAGTCTTCGGTGAAGTGTCTTTTGATATAAGAATACTAAATATTGATAGGCCTTCGGATGCAAGCGGTGGGAAATTGGAAGTCGTAATAAGAAGTAATGGTAACAACGATACAGTAGATGAATCAGACAGTAAGGATACTGAAACTGTGGTGCGAGCTAATGATTTGAGGGTAACTGCGCCTGCGATTGTTGAATGTCAATATCAGTACCCGGAAAAGGAGCAAGTCAATGCTATACTTAGTGATATGATGAATCAGTTGACGAAGGTAGATATAACTTTTAATTATTATGTTTTACCGAAACTATTTACTAGATTAGTGATAGTTGTATATATTTATACTACAAGCTAGTTGCTCTAAGGGTAGCGATCACAACAAACAAACAAATTGGGATTTTAGCAAAGTTGGTTGGTTGCGTGAGGGACAGGTAACAATCATCAAAAAAAAATATAATTTCTTCAGAATTTTAGGTTAACAAGTAAAGAAGAAAGTACAGAGACTGTCATTATAAGACATATACAAATTTAATGATTTTAGTTATTTGTTAAAGCACATGACGTGCTGAAAGGGGGCTTACCTCGTCGTTCCCCTACAAGGTTTCGAGTGGTCGACAAACTGGACTCCAGCTTTTTCGAGAAAGCATTCAAACAAATGGCTAGTGAATTCAGGTATAATATATAATTATATATATAATTTTATGAAAACTTCATTATTTTTCACAATAAATTTTAGATTTTTTAAATTACGACCCGACAGGCATTGAACCCGAATCCATAGAGCTTGTAACTCTAACATGGTAGCTCAATCGGTTATAGGAACTTCACGGAATAAATGTAGAATGTGTATATGATGTAGGCACATATACACCGTGATAACACAAACAATAACACAATTAGGTCTGACATATGAGAAAAGTCAAACTATATATATTTTTCTCAAGAGATTTCTTTTTCATTTAATTTATTACTTTAATTTAATTTATATTTATAGACATATTCATTAGATATGTTTAAAGAATATTTTCACTAATTATAAAATTTCCTTTCATTATAATTACATCACTGTTTGGTCTTTTATAACTTAAGTAAACCATTTTTAAATATTTAATAATTACATAATCTGTGTCTATGGTTACTTTTCTCTAAATTTGTATCTTTTTATGTAAGTTCATTAGTTAAGGCTTAGTATTAAGATTTAACTGATTCAAATTTGTTTCTCTCCATTTAACGACACCTCTCTATAACGACCTAAAATGCATTTCAGTGTCGTTATACAGAGTATACACTATACACTTTTAGATACCTTCTCAATAATACCATCCCTGTGGCAAACCACACGGGAGACCCTTGTCAGAAGCAGGAACAACTAAAGAAGATGTGGCAGAGTTTACTCAACCTCTCCCAAGAGGTTCTAAGTCGCGCCAGCATGAGCTGCTTACAAGAGTTTCTCCGCACCAGGAACAGAGCTGATGACTCACAGACTAAGAGCAAGCTGGACCAACTGGCCACACGAGAATTGAACAAGATGCGGTCCAATCTTTTGGACAAACTGTGCGATGACTTTCAAATGTGTTACAATGATCTTTTGTGATAAAAACCAAAAAATATTTTTTTTTGAATATGTTTTAACTCAGGAATTAGTCTTACAGATATTTTATATTACGTCACTAATGTATAACAGAAACTAAGACAAATAATACTTTTTTCTCAAATCTAAATACTACAAATAAAACTTATTAATACACTTATCAACCTACATATAAATTTTTAACTTAATGTATATGTTTACATGATAAAAGGAGAAATAAAAATTTTAATTGATTACTGTTTCTAGTTTAAGTGAATCACATTTAATTAAAATAAATTTAACGGTTTAAAACGCGAAATACAGTCGTTGCCATAGTTGCCGTAGTTACAAATAAGTCAACTAATATATTTCGTGTTTTAAAGGGTTAATATTGTTTTGTGTAGACGTATTTTGAATAATTGTAAGTTTTTCATGGTTAAAACTAGGAAAATCGATTAAGAAAATTGTTATGAAAACGGGTGATGGATTCCATCATGTGTTGGAATTCTTCGCGGCTGTGCAGGATGGTTGTGCGGAAGTGGAATGTTCCAGGTCTCTGCCCGAATCCAGTACCCGGGACGACGCACACACCTGCCGGAATAATAAAATGCATATTGTAAGTATTATAAAAAGGTGTGAAATCCCGTTTCCCCTCGTGGGGCATGGGGCGAACACATTTCTGTGTCCGTTTCACTGATCGGTTTTATTTACAGGCAAGTAGTTGATCAGACTTCTGTGCCCTGCCCCGACCGAAAAATGTTCTGTTTCCCCGGGATTCGAACCCATTCGAACCCCCTCACGCTTAACGCAATGCTAGGCAACACGTTTGACCATTTAGCTACAAAAACGGTGAGTAGTATAATTAGGAGAATTTAAATAAAACTTTTACGGTTCAAAACACGATATATATTAATTAAACTAGTTTAAAAATTATTTTAACTACGGCGCGAAGTTTAACTAATATATATCGCTTTTTAAACTGTTAAAGTGTTTCATTTAAGCGTGTAATACTTGCGTAAGCTACAGACAGTATAAAAGTAGTAGATTTTTGGTGAAAGCCGAAAACAAGGGGACTTAATAACTTCGACTAAGAAGAGAGATTTTTTTAGCTCCAATTGTCTACAAAAAAAAATCTTTCAAATCTCTAAGTAGCTTTAAATAACTTAAAAAGAAAGTTAAAAATGTTACTTACCGGTTTCCTCTAGGAGCCTTAAGCAGTAGAATTCATCTGGAGACATGTCCAGGTCAGCTGCTTCCTCTTGCGCCAGCGCTGGTATTTCCACTTGAGGGAAGGCAAACATTGAACCCTGTAATCAAATCTTAAAGTAGTAAAGTGTCAAGAGTAACGTTCATAAAAGTATTTGGCATCAAAATTTTGTATTGTGTTATTAATTTCCTTAGTAAAGACGACTCCGACTCCGTTCCATGACCCGATCAGGATTTAGATTATTTTAAGACCTATATAATATCTAGATTGCAATTCACATTATACCTAACAATAATACCCCGTTACAAAGTATTATATTTACATGTTTCATAATTAACTTTCGTATTATAAGGTAAGGTTTTATCCCTAAAATATCGATACTTGTGGAAACAAGCAAGTAAACTATTCTCATATATAAAGCTGAAGAGTTTCTTTGGTGGTCTAACCTAATATGACTCACTTATGATCCATTTATGTTATTACACACATATGGCTAAAACTATATGTTCAGAACAAGAATTTAATTGTAAACAGTGACAAAAAATAAATAGTTTATGAAATTTAAGTCTATATAAAATTGAATATTACCTCTATAGGGTTGCAGCTATAACCAGGGATGTCGTTAAACGTGCTATACGCAGTGCTTGCTCGTTCAGCCAGTAAACGGGCAATTTTTTCCCTCTCCTCCCTCCATTGAGCGAACGAAGTCTCACCGCGACGAGGCGGACGCACCTATTAATAGTCCAATCAAGTTTTAAAGAGATCAAAGGAAAGAAGGCTTCATAGGAGATATGCAATTAATTTTACAAGGCTTGATAATAAACAATGTTTTGATAAGTACGGTCAACTAAAAACGATCAGTTAAAGTAAAACCTTAAACAAATTGCCTTATTGGTATAACATTAAAAATAAATAATAAATTAGAATTTTAATAAAACACTTTAACTGTTTAAAACGCGATATACATTAGTTAAACTATAGTGCCTCCCGTAGTTAAGATAAATTTAAAATAAGTTTAACTAATATATACAGTATTTCAATCCGTTAAAATTTTTTATTTAAAATATACTCGCGTAAACTACATAGAGTATTGAATATAATGGAATTTAATAACTCACAATACAATCAAGGACACACTGTCCAAGCACAGTTGGACACTGCATGACACCCCGAGAAGCAGCAAAGACAGACCGTACAGGTGGGCTGAGGCGCGTCAGCTCCAGGAAGGCCCCTCGCAGACCACATTCGGCCGCCCAACCCTTAGAGCAAGTGACAAAACTTGCCAGTTCCATGTCACTGTAGGGAGCCCCCAATTCGTGCATTACCTATACAACATTAATTATATGTTTAGGTTAATATTGAAATCTTGAAGTAGTATTATGTGTAATTAGGTTGTACAGAGGGGTCAAAAGTGGAAGCAAATGGTCCGTGTATACATCTAGCGCTGTCTCGTCACTTCCTTTGCTTGAACATGGCTTGCCAAGCTGAATAGATAAAAAGTCAAGTCTGCCCACTGGGGTCACAATTCTGTATTCGTATCAATCGATTACATTTACAGGCGTAGTGATCAGCACTACTGTGCTCTGTCCCGCCGAAATTATGTATCGATCTCCTGGGATTCGAAACCAAGATCTCATGCTTTTTTACGAGCTATTAAGCTCAAGAACTTGAACTGGTTACATTTTATCACAAAACATTCAGCGGTTTTTACGTAATCTATTCATTACTTAGACAATAATTAACTTTCTAAATAAAAGATTATGAACTTTAATTTATACATATAAAGTATTTAGTGGTAAACGATTTGTAATTTTTATGAATTATCAATAATGTGTGTAATTTCTTAAATACTGTACCTTTTTGAAGGAGTAAAAAGGCTTTGAAATAATATTCTCCTGGTATACCTCGTCGGCCAATATGAACAAGTTGTGTTTGTGAGCGAAGATTATGATTTCTTCTATATTCTGACGTGACAGAACCTACAAAAAGGAGGTTACTACTCAACTAGAACGGAAGATTTTAAATATTTTAAGCTATTGTTACATAAATAAATTCCATCAAAGTACAATTTGTTGGTTGTTGTTGGTATTTACAGTAGTTTGGTGGTCACGGTAAAGAGAGGTATATGCATCTATAGGTTAAATTCGAGGATGACGTGTAGGACAGTGTAGGTAGCGCAATTGGTTAGAACAGCATGGTTGCCTGCTTAAGTCCCGCACGTGTCATTGATTCATTTCTAAGTAGATTTTTAATTTAGTCATAATAACCTTTAGTTATATTTCCTAAAAACGATGTTTATCTTTAATTGTTTATTGCATTTTGGCTTTGAAAATATTTTTTGTGTTATAAGATATAATTAAATTGCTATAAACAAACTATAGCTCAAGTACATTTAATTCACACGAGTGGTGTACTTTATGCCATTTATACCGCTAAGTTATGCTTGTGATAGGGATGAATTGTGGTTGAAATATTTAGGCATTGTGTGGTAATTTACTGTAATATTGGGTCAGTAAACTTATTTCAAAAGTAGTATTAGTGATTAAAAAAAAATCAGCGATTTAATTATATTATTAACGTTATAAGCATCTTAAGAGCATCTGGTAAATAAACAGGATGTGACATCGTTTAACGTAAACCTCATAAAACAATTATATTCATGCGATTTTCTTCCTAAAACGAAGCAACAGAAGGATCTTTATCGCGTGAATTTCTTTGATTTTCCGACACTATCTTAGAAACAGCTCCTTGGCTTTATGGCCACTTTCCTTGAACTGGTATAAATAATTCAGATCAAATTATATACTATCATTTGTCTCTAAAGGATTTCGTGACGTTACGAAAAGATAGCCGGGATCTCTTTCGTATTTAATTTTCTCGCTTAAAGCGTTTATTATCTGTTACTACATAAGTGTATGTGTAGTTCTAACTGCATTGGGAACGAAGCAGATACGTTTCTGAGTTCCACTGATCAACTTTAACCAGTTTGATACATTGGATTCAAGTGCTGAAAAGTGAATCATTGTTAAGGCAGTCAAATACTATTTTTTTTATTATTTTTTTGACTGATTATTACGTATTGAGCCCGGGGCTATAAATACTAACCGGAAGTTTGCGGCTAGACCAAGGCAGCCCCAAGGGGGGCATCGGCCTCGGCTTGGCCCACCGCAATGCAGGTGGGAGCTTGAAGAGCTGGACGGAAGCTCACCCGAGTGAGCGGTACGCGGAGCAAGTGACCGCCTTCGCCGGCGAAGGTATCGTGGACGATCGGCGCCGGCGTCGACGAATCGCGTCGTGACTAGTGTATCGACTTTAGTTAAGTCATCGTCGGGGTCGTTGAAAACGTTTCGTGGCCTTCTCCAGCGCGTTTTGACGGGAACGGTGAAGTTGGCGGCCCGGGTCACCAGTGGGTTCGGATGCGACGCGGCTTTTTTTTAAGAAGCGTTCGGACGTTTCTTTGAAGTACCGACTGAGGGTCGGCAATTCGAGGTCGGCGTGAAGGTTAGCATTCCGCACGCACCAGGGGCCTGTGGAGTGTGCTGGGGGCAGCGTGGGCGAAAGCGATGCTGGAGTAGGCGTGGATCGGACGGATGAAATGCTAATTCGAAAGCAGGAAGTTCAAGGAATCATATTTAGTCAATCAGTTTGGCTTTTTACGTAATGAAAGTAGTTTACATGGAATCACTAAATTAAAAATAAGGGCTAATAAAGATTATCTTATTATCCCTGTAGTAAATAAATGCTTATTGGGTCTATGAAACACTGTCGACACTTGAAACGAGATTTACAGGAATACGCGCATCTGCTACCATTTGAGCTAGCATGTCCTGTTCTTCAATCCGTATTGAGCGACAATGTCCTATGCGTTGTAGCTTAAGAAATTACAAAATGTACGTTTGAAAACTTTATTATTTGCATATGATGGATTTATATCATAAAATATATCCGACGCGTCCGGTACATAGCGTTTTTTTAATTTAAATTCGTTTAACTTTATACAAATCTATCCTATGAAAAGAAAACAAGAGTTTCAAATTGTTCACATCTTCGACGTTATTAATGTGTAAATATAACTTCAATAGTAGTTTACGTGAGTAGTACACATTTAATTAAAACACTTTCTATGCCATTTTAATCACCTCAGGTCTAATTCCCCGAGTCTTAATCATTATTCAAGGGAAACGAATTCGAGTAACAAATAGCCAGAGATCAGAACCCGCTCTGAAGCTCTATTGAACGTGAGATTGCATTTGAAACGACCTTAATGAAATGCGTTAGTCCGCTTCAACTTTGTGTTATCTCAATCTTCCATTTCCATTAAGCTAATCGTAAATCTATTACTTTAATGTAGCTAGAGTGTATTTTTTCTAACATAGGAAAAGACCACAACCAATATGGTAGATTTAAACCATAGAGATTTAGTGAAGCCATTTCATAGAGTGTAGTCATTGTCACAGATGACATAAGGTTAAAGAAATATTCATTATATAGTCTACTAAACGAGCTCAATATTCAATATCAAGAACACTTTTATAATTATTTTTCACCTTCTATTATCGTTGACTTACATCCTGTCATTATGAAAATGTCAAGCTACAGAAATTTTGAATCTGTGCATTTACGTAAATTCACATAGGATTTTTATTAATGATATGTACACATTGTAATAAAGAATTATTTTATTAATTTTAATACGACATGGTTATCACTTAAGTGTATTTGACGTAGTTCATTAATTTAATACATAGTCCAGTGTCTTCAGTGTAAATTGTGTTTTTGTTTACCAAAAATGCCAAGTAAGAAAAAATACACTATGTTACCTATTATAAAACTCAAATGTTTGTTTGATTAAACGCGCTAATCTCAGGACCTTCTGGTTCGAAATGAAAAATTATCTGTATGTTGATATAACACTCATATTTTCGCCACAAAAACAATTTTATTGTTTTTAAAGTGAAAACATTGTTAGGTACATGGTACAGGTACACAACGGTTTAATGCGTATTACAACGATGTACTTACCTATGAATTCTATTTATTAGTGTTGATTTTATTGCCTCATACTTTTATTATTATAAATAAAATTGCTTTGTAAGATCCCAATAATTTTATGTTTTTACTGTTTTGTGTGTTAACGATCTTTGTTGTGTTAGTATTTGGTATCGTTGTAAGGTACAATTGATTGCATATTTTCCCTCACTCGTGTTCACTTTTACTCAGTTATTGTTACTTTTTTTCCTTTTCTTTATACAAAGGTTGCCTGGAAGTCGCCATAGGCATAGCCCGCCTTTGCACTAACTCTTTTTTAGTGTTACTATTTTTGTTTTTTATTTATTTTTGCAACGAAATGTTTTATTATTTTTCGATAAGTAAGCATCGTAACGTTACGTTACGCACGTCAGAATTTTCATTCAACAAAGCATTTCTATTGAAAAATGTTTGTAAAGATTATCGCCCATTGAAATCTGAGTTTAAACTTTCGAACTATTTAATAACTTCGCGTAGAATTGTTACCTGCCCGGTCGGATTTCCCGGATTTATCACAACCAAAGCCACCACTCGCGAGTGTTCACTGGCTTCTTGATAACTTCGCTCCAGTTCCTCAACTTGTAAAGCCCAGTTGTCCTCCTCATCCAGGTAATAGTTGGCCTGATTGATGCCCAATTCTGCCAGGGTACCGGAGAAGAGAGGATATTGTGGTATCGGTATCATTACAGCTGAAACAAGAACAAAAGTTTTTATGTTACGTAAATTTGCTTGAATTCAAATCCTGCGATTTATTTTTGGCTTTGGATATTCGGAACTCCACAGACTAAAACGCGATTAAGCTTCACAGCTTTTTCATCTGTGGACGGTGGGTCGTGACCCGGACGGAATTTCTATATTCCCACCTATTAATATCCAGATTTCCAGACGAAGTCCAACATGTTTCAGATAAATTTTAATGATTCAGATAATTATAATGATGGACACAGTGAGGATTGAACCCCCGGCCAGTTGATTTTTAGAAGAGAAACTGGTTTTAGCTAGATTCCATTGAACTATGTTCTTTTTGAAAGACAGGACCGCACTTGATCCAAAGATACCATGACAATTCCAGGAAGATAAAATGCTTACCAGGCGGTTTACCATCCACAACGCCGGAAAATAGTGTAAGAACAGATTTTATGAGGTCTGAAGCACCCGAGCCCAGGTAGATATCTTCAAGGGAGGCGGAGACACCGTCTCGAGCCTCAAGGTATTCTACGATGTGGCGTCGGACTATCATTAGTCCAGCAGATGGAGAATATGCACCAACTGAACCTTGTCTGCAATATAATATTATAAATTGTATAACGCTTAAACTGCCATCGTTCAGCATATCATTGTTTTTCGGGCTGTTCGGCCGACGTGAGTGAGAAGAGGTTCTCGACGTTTCGCCATCACGAGCGGATGGCATCATCAGGAGACGTCGTTAGGTCCTCAATTGCTCGAAGGATAACATCTCGCGATGAAGCCGTCCGCTCGTGATGGCGAAACTTCGTTCGTCGTTTGTTTATGTTTTTTAACTATTAACATTTTTTTAAATCAAGTTCTTCGCATTACTTATTCATTGTTTCTAACAATCGCGAATAAAACTGGAACAAAAGAAATAAATATAATAAAATAAATTCTCTAGTTATCCCTAGTTCTTAAGATAAGGTATGGTAGCAAACTCTACGGCTTTAGAAATAATATTTCTCTGTTTATTTTTGACTATAAAAATTGTTTATCTTCATTTATAGAAACTTAAAAAGTCAGTAGTTTACGCGAGTAGTACACACGATAAATAAATTAACGGTTTAGATCGCAAAATATTTAAGGAGTAATAATTTTTAAATAACTAACATTTCCTGTTAAAACCGTTAATCTAATTTCTAATTTCTGTCCTCTAATATTTTCCTATAACGTTGTGCTGTAAGTAATTCAATAAGTGTTGTTTGCATAGTGAATAATTCACAAATTGAAAACTTAATTTCGTAAAATAGCAGAAAATTGATTAGAACTGGTACTGTCTGTGGTTTAGGCGAGTAGACTTTCAAAAAGAAGAAGAAGAGTAGAATTTTTAATGGTTTAAAACGCGATATATACGAGTCAAAGTTATTTAGAAATTATTATTAACTTCGGCCCGACGTTGTGGATGCTTGGCAGCGACCGCAGTCACGGGAAGACAAAAGATGGCGGATGTCTCTGACGTCAAAGTAAAAATTGCTACTTGACTTATTATAAAATTGCAGTTAGGCCATTCTGGGTCTAGCAGCCATATTAGAGAAGAGCAAGGCGAATGGTGGGAGACGATTAGGAGCCTCGTTAATTATTTACTCAAATTGGATGGATCCATTGTGTGGTATCTGATCTATATCAGTTTATCAGCTTCGGTTCATTATTTATTTATTGGACTTGATGGTAAAAGACCAATCTTTTTTATACCTACTACTGTAATCAGTGGCCAATATTGTAATTCTTTTGTTTACTTTTGTAATCATATGTCCAAATTTCATATAGATCGACAACACATTATATATATATGTAACTTACTTGTCATCAAATTAACCTTATGTTATTATGTCATTCGCGGCTATGAAGTTCTATCGCGTTTCGGTTTCTGTGTTTGGATTTCCGGATAGTCAAAATAGGACTACAGCGCATCTTGTTTAGATGTTTAACGGTCTTGGTTTTTAAAAAATAACTAATATAGTTTTTTTAAATTACTTTACCGCGTTTTAAACTTTTCAAATAGATGATTAACTAACAGATACAAATATAGTAATTTGTAAATATAAACTGTAACTGTTTAAAACGCGAAATATTGTAGATAAACTAATTTGTAAACATATTTTAACTACGCTTATCTACGTTTTGGAAGCTTTGTAGTAGCCATGGTCACGGAGAGACACATGTTGCTTAATTTATTTTTAATAATTTCAGTTAATACATTTCGCGTTTTAAACCGTTAGAGTGTTTAATTTAAAAGAGATTTCAAGTTAATAACAAACGTTTATTATTTTAACGCAACTTTGTAACTGCCTTAGAAGCAATAACTGTGAACATCATCGTCCCAATTCCCAAAACGAGAGCTGAATAGTTTTATATTTTCTAAACGGTAAAAGTAAAGTTTATTAGCCTTACATTTAGTATAGAACTTGGCTACCTTTTAAAACTCCAATACTTCAAAGATAAAATACTTGATGTTGTAAAAACTCTCGCGATGTATTTTCAAACTTTGGTGTTTCATTCCAAGCATAGGATGACTTAAAGGCAATCTTTTTAGATTTTATTCCTCGTTTAACTTTTACACTTAGTCATTCCGGAAAAGCTCTAGTTTACGTTCGTTTGCTCTCTGCTGTTTATACTTAATTACTTGAACTATTTATAATTAATTCGCATATCTTAATGTTATGCAAAAAATTAATGGGCGCTGTCTGCTCCAGGTGCTTAGAGAATTCGAAACTTCTTCAAATTTCTGAATATTTTGCACCATAATTCTTTATTGTCAAAATATACCAGATGTTTCAAAGAACGTATCTATTTATAATTTTTCTATAACAAGTTCTATGAATTAGGATTTTTAATAAAATTTGAGATTTTAGAATGATATATGTTTATCTGTCTTCCTCTGTAAGTATATAAAATACTATAAATAGTTTAAAATGGTTACCATTTTTTAAATTTATTTTACCTACGGCGCGCCTTTCTGAATGCTTTGCACCACCACACCTTGTTAATATCAAACAGGATGTTAGAAGGGTGTCACTAATTTGGAGTTAAAACTGACTTGGAGAGAAGTCTAGGTTTGATTTTACTACGAACGAAAACTACAAGACAATACTCAAATAAGGACAACCTAAATATATCGATACTAAGAAGTAGGTCGCTATCGTAATCTCGGTATTGGCTTCCCTAAACAGAGTCTGTATAATTTCGCCAATGATGGGGACGTGACTCGAATAAGTACACGGTTTGACGAACAGGCTCTTCGGAATAATACGGCCTTGATCCTCTAAGCTACAGCGTTAAATCAAATTCTTAGCGAGTACATTGCTTCGCCGTAACAGCGGAACTTACGATTCAGTATACAAACCAAGCGATGTACAATATACATTTTAAAATCACAGCCGATTGTAAATATCGTAAATTGTAGTCAAGTGAACTGTGTAAACAGTTTTGATACACGAGAATTTGTTACGAAATTGTAATCTTTTGGTGGAGTGAGCTTAAATTTTCACACAGACGCGCAGATACTAAAGAGACAATTTATACTAATATTGTGAAGCTGAAGAGTTTGTTTGTTTAATCATCATTCATCCCAGGAAGTACTTCGTTCGAGTTGAAAAATTATTTTTGTGTTGGAGAATTTATCGATCGTTTACCATTTATCGAGAAAGGCATTATATAACAGGCTGAGACTAGAGGAAAATCATTAATCTCTGAGAGCTTCCTAATATAGGTATGATAGAATAGAATGGTTCCTATTTAGATATTCTAAAAATGTCCGCTATATTTTTTTAACAGAGACAGACTTTGGTACCAATAATACTACATTCGTATAATATGGGCTAACGGGTTTGACAAGAGAAGACAGTTTATGCTCAGCATTGCTTAAAAATATATTATATATAATAAGTATATTTCGTAAATGGCGAATATTGATTAAATTCACTATAAAACGTATAATGGATAATATACATTATGATATAAGTTCGGTAAGTTGAAAATTACAGCCGAGACGATATTACTAGGCTGTAATTTTCAAAGCCCACGTATGTCATACGACGTTATATAATATATTAACGAGGAAATTAATAAATTCATCACTACTTGACGACATTTTTAAATAAAAACAATATAGCGAAAAGAAAAAGCGCGCGGAATTATTTTTACTTGCCCACATATAAGCGATGCGCGCGTAAAAGATTAATTAAAACATTTTAATAATATTAAATGTAGTTGGTCGGGTATATATATCAAATCAAATTTGTATCTAAAACTCTTTTAATTAAAAATTGTAAACTGATACATAAATAAGAAGACATGAATATGGTTGACACAATATTGCTTTAATTTATATACAGTGAGCGTTAAACAAATATACACTTACTTTTATTATTGCGAAAATAACAATAGACACATAAACTAAAGACAAGCTAGGGCTCACTTAACTTAAGTCCGTTTGGTGTGGCATCTCGCTTCTGTGTAGGGTTTTTCTCAATTTAGACGCCATTATATGGGGCCAGTCACGTCATATCGGATGATGCAATTCCATATTGATGTCGCGTCATTTCACTTCTGTGTAGGGTTTTCCTCGATTTAGGTCCGTCCGCTGTGGCTTCGCGGGAGTGAGTGTGCGGGGCGGAAATGCTAGGGCGCCATTCTATGGGCCCAGTGACGTCATATCGGATGATGCAATTCCATATTGATGTTGCATCATTTCAACGTAAAACTAACATAATACATTTATACAAAAATTAAATAGTAAAATTATAAATTTGGTTGAACAATCGTTTTATCAGTAACTAAATCGTCTTATTTATAAAGAAAAGCTTTACATAAAATACATGATTCAAAATGAGTTATAATTGTATGTCTTAAACAGGGCACTGTATTTATAATGTACTAATTCGGTTTCACATGTTAATAAGTTGTTATATAGTTATAATTATTAAACGGTTACATTTACATTTGTCTTAATACAATTTTGTAATATTTATAGAATATCTGTATGACTTTAGAGACAAATTGAGATTAAAACATAACTTAGTGTAACAAAAGAACTTAAATTATCGGAATAATCTAACACGGCCAGACTGATTAGTACTTCGCTCTCGAAGTACCTTCAAATCGCATTTTTATATTCATAAAAAAAAAAGTCTCTGACCTTGTCATATTAGTTCTATCATTATTCATTAGCTGCTCCTGAATCATCAAACTAATATCGGGGCTGTGATCGCACAGTAATTCATACAATAGCCTCTGGCCTTGACATATCAGTTCTATCATTAGCTGCTCCTGAATCATCAAACTAATATCGGGGCTGTGATCGCACAGTAATTTATACAATAGCCTCTGGCCTTGACATATCAGTTCTATCACCTGCTGCGCATGAATTTCAGACTGACATCAGGGCAGTGACTGACCAGCAGTTGAACAATAAATAGCATCTGGCCTTGACATATCAGTTCTATCATTAGCTGCTCCTGAATCATCAAACTAATATCGGGGTTGTGATCGCACAGTAATTTATACAATAGCCTCTGGCCTTGACATATCAGTCCTATCACCTGCTGCGCATGAATTTCAGACTGACATCAGGGCAGTGACTGACCAGCAGTTAAACAATAAATAGCCTCTGGCCTTGACATATCAGCCCTATCACCTGCTGCGCATGAATTTCAGACTGATATCAGGGCAGTGACCGACCAGCAGTACATTAAACGATCATAACCTTTTCCAAATAAAATAAAATAAATAATAATCAACTAAGATCATAGATAGAACTAATATCAGGGCAGTACGTTAAAAAAAAATAGACGGTCATAATAACAGAAAAAAAAGATCGTTTAGTAGCAAGGAAACTATTTCTTAAAGTCCTTTTGTATGTCTCCGTTAAAGATCATTCTTTCACGTTCTCACCAGGGCTTCTTGTCTGATAATGGAGTAGTGTTCGAAGGCCGTGTGTCAGTTCATCACGTCTCGATCAGTCCCGGCGTCGTTAAAGATGTTTTTGCTGATCGTCCATAATTCTCAGGGCTCCTTGTCTGGCGAAGGAGTAGTGTTTGATGGCCATGTGCCACTTCATCACGCCTTAAGCAGTCCCGGCTATGTTGCAGATGTTCTCGCTGATCGTCCATAATTCTCTGAAACTCATACTTGATGTATTAGTTTGGATACTTATCTCAATTATTCATCCAAAGTGAGGGCTTTTTATTTTTACGTATTACGATTCGTAACAAAATTAAGCACAAAATCTATTGCTAGTATCTGAATACGTCGCTGATTTCTTTTTAGAAACTTATAATCCATTTGCATCATCAAAATCTTTCAATATATTTAACAAATTACGTGTCACACCCCTTTATAAGTACTTAAAGTACACGTTAATATCTTTATTTCAAAAAAAAAAACAAAACGAGAAAAAAAAAAACAATGTGACATAATAAGAAGAAAAAATATATATATATAACTAGACGAGCAAACATGGCGTGAGGTATTTTATTCACTGTATTGATTCGTATCCCGCTTCTGATAAAAGATTAATTAAAAAAAATTTAATAATATTAAATGTAGTTGGTCGGGTATATATATCAAATCTAATTTTGTATATAAAACTCTTTTAATTAAAAATTGTAAACTGATACATAAATAAGAAGACATGAATATGGTTGACACAATATTGCTTTAATTTATATACAGTGAGCGTTAAACAAATATACACTTACTTTTATTATTGCGAAAATAACAATAGACACATAAACTAAAGACAAGCTAGGGCTCACTTAACTTAAGTCCGTTTGGTGTGGCATCTCGCTTCTGTGTAGGGTTTTTCTCAATTTAGGCGCCATTATATGGGGCCAGTCACGTCATATCGGATGATGCAAGTCCATATTGATGTCGCGTCATTTCACTTCTGTGTAGGGTTTTCCTCGATTTAGGTCCGTCCGCTGTGGCTTCGCGGGAGTGAGTGTGCGGGGCGGAAATGCTAGGGCGCCATTCTATGGGCCCAGTGACGTCATATCGGATGATGCAATTCCATATTGATGTTGCATCATTTCAACGTAAAACTAACATAATACATTTATACAAAAATTAAATAGTAAAATTATAAATTTGGTTGAACAATCGTTTTATCAGTAACTAAATCGTCTTATTTATAAAGAAAAGCTTTACATAAAATACATGATTCAAAATGAGTTATAATTGTATGTCTTAAACAGGGCACTGTATTTATAATGTACTAATTCGGTTTCACATGTTAATAAGTTGTTATATAGTTATAATTATTAAACGGTTACATTTACATTTGTCTTAATACAATTTTGTAATATTTATAGAATATCTGTATGACTTTAGAGACAAATTGAGATTAAAACATAACTTAGTGTAACAAAAGAACTTAAATTATCGGAATAATCTAACACGCGCATCAACGTTTTTTTTTAGGCAAAGGTACAAAAACAGCCAGTATTACTAATAAAGTAAATTAATATTTTTGTGTTTTTGTTACAGATAAATCGTTGTAATTTATTGTCAACATTAATTAAATTAAAGAATTAAATGTTTATTTGTTATATTTTATTTTCCAAAGTTAATTTTATTCATAAAATATTGACCACTTCTTTGACATAAAACCTCTTTGCTAAGAAAAAAAACACGTGCCTTTTACATTACATTATCGCACAATACACACAATAAGCGCATTGACAGTCCCATATTGATGTTCAATATGCAGAACGAAATCCATATTGTTTAGATCCATCGAATTATGTCGTATATATACTAATGTATAAAGCTGAACGTCTGTCTGTTTGTTTGCTCTGGAAGTACTGGTTAGAATAAAACGGTGAAAATTATTAACCCTAGTGGGTTTCCGTTCAAGATACGTAAAAAGTATGTATGAAAACGATTCTGTTTAGATAACCTAAAAAAATGTCTATCTTTTAAGATTAACTTGCAAGAACGACGGGACGCGGACGACGTGAATAAGTATTTATAAGGTTTGCAAGAACAATTTTTGATATACAAATAACTATTTTACGCAGACAAAGTCGCTGCCATAGCTAGTATGTATATATGATGTAGGCTGGCAATTACTAAAATTGATTAATTTGTGTTGCGACGCGTGGTGCGCTGGTGTCGCCCACATCCATGTCATGCAAATTTATGCAGCATCCTTTATATATTCATATGCTAAACCGACATTAACATACAGTTTTTAATGGAATACGCTTAATTAAATTGATTCGTATTTTGGTTGAATAACATCAATTAATTATTAATTGTAATCGGTCATTGCATCCAATTACCAGTATAAATAAGAAATTAAATATACATTGAAAAAAGTTACTGACTCGGGCAGGACTTGAACTGGCATCTACAGCGTTCCGTGCTGTTGCTCTAACCAATTGAGATACCGCGTGATATATATCTGCACGGTTAGTCAATTAGTAAAGCACTTAGTTCAAATCCCACTTGTGTCACTTTTCAATTTAAAGATATTTTTTCCGAAATGTTATACTTGCTCTTATAAAGTTGTTGTCAGTCTCGATAAAATTCGTTTGTGAAACTCACGTGCAATCTTGCAATATTTCCGTAGCCCTGTCCTTAACATCAGCAGGTAGATCTGGCGAGTTCATCAACTGAGGACAAGACACTAGTGCTAGGACCTGTCAAGGAAGGTTTAAGTAATTATTAGTCTTGACCGCGATGACATTTTAAATATAGTTTTATTAAAATATCAGGCAAATTTAAGCTACTTTAAAAATTCGGACTGGCTCGTTGATGAAAGAAATGTAAGTCTTATAATCAACGGGTCGTAGGTCTGATCCGATTTGATCCGATCCTACCGGGTCCAACATGATAATACATTTACAAATTGTCTAAAACATGTTGGACTTCGTCTGAAACTGGATATTAAATGTGTGACAGGATTATCGAAATCCCGTCCGGATCATGAAGCATCGTTCACATTTTAATCGCGTTTCAGTAATCGCCAAAAAAAGTCGACAGGGCATCTTGTTCAAATGTAACATGGCTGAGGTATTTACCATCTAGTGACCCCCATGTTTGTCTCTCCTCCATCATCAAAAACTTTATATTTCACGTTTTAAACGGTTAATTCATACCTGTCGGATAAAGGTGATGGGTTTCTGTCCAAGCGCATGACAATCGCCAATGTTTGCGCGTACAACACGATTGAAGGGTTTTGAAGCACCCTGAAATAAGACAAAATAGATTGAGCTTGATGGCCGGTCATTTATACACACTAGTAGTGAAATCCCGTTTTCTCTCGTGGGGCATGGGGCGAACACATTCCTGTGTCCGTTCCATTGAACGGTTTTTTATTTAGAGGTATTTGATCAGTTTTCAGTGCCCTGCCCGACCTAAAAAATTTTATTGTCTCCCCGCGATTTCAACCCAGGACCTATCGCGCTTAACGCAACATGTTTAACCATTTAGCTACAGAGGCGGTCATTTCTACACAATAGAACTTCCATAAAGTGGAATTAAGGACATTCATGCTATTCGTCGCGGGTTTGAATCCCGCCTGTCATCGTATTTCAGTATTCTTTTTTATGTTCTTTATTGCTAAGAGTACTATAGCATCTTTTATGGACGATAACGACTCCTAAGTGCAATTCGATGTTATAACAGCCATTCAAACCACACTACACACATACTTAAAACCAGCAAATAAACTGCAACGGACTATTTTATATGTCTATAAAATATCGTTACTAAATGCATAGTAGATACAAGTATCAAGTTAAAAAAACTTTTGTTAAACAGTTTTATTTTTTGTGCACTGAACACTAATTTTTGTTTTTAATATTGACAAAATCATAGTGTCTATAGTTTACGCGAGTAGTATACCTTTAAATAAAACACTTTAACGGCTTTAAACGCGATATATATTAGTTAAACTTATTTGAAAATGATTGTTAACTTCGGCCCAACGTTTCGTATGACTTGCAGCAGCCGTATCTCACTCGTTTTAAACCGTTAAAGTGTTTTATTTAAAATCACCGTGTTTTACTAGTGTAGCCCTTTCATTTGATACCCATATTGAAGGGGTAAAAGAAAAATATGCAATCCGCCATTTTGTATCGGCGGCCATCTTAGATTTATAATGTTATCGGTTTTATTATATTGTATTGTCATCTAAATTAATGTGTGTACCAATTTCAGATCAATCTGTCAACGGAAAGGTATTTAAATTTCTAATTTTGACCCAAATAACTAAATTCCGTACGGGTAGAGCTAAATAAAATTGTTGAAAAATAAACGTTTTCTAATTTATTATTAGACTTTTCTAATTTACTAAGGTTAAAATGTTTAAAAGGCGATATATAACACTAACATGTCGCCAAGAACTACGACGGAATAGATGGCGCTAGCGTAGTTTTCACTTTGACATTAAAGACACCCCCCATTCTTAGTCTTCCAGTGACCACGGCTAAGCAAAGCATCCGAAACGTCGGGCCGTAGTTAAAATAATTCGTGTTTTAAATCGTTAGTGTTTTATTTAAATATATTGGTAATATTTAAATGTCAACTTGGCCCAGATCCCTCGTGTACGCACAGCTTAAATCAGCAATTAGCCTGTTAATACTTGTGTTTGTTTGCAATTAATTTCCAATTTATTCACTACAGTAAGCGTTATTTATTTCATGTTATGCCAGTATATAAACATATGGTTAATTATATGTAAGTTTAACGATTTTTAATGTCAATAACGAACGTCATGTTGTTTTATAAATAATAATAATACAATTCTTTATTGCACAAATATAGACATAAGAACATAGACATTTAGAATTAATTCGCGAAGGCGATTTCTTTCAGGCAACCTTTGCATGAAAAAAGAAAAAAAATAAAATTACAGTGTAGAAGTAAACGTCGGGAAACTTCCCGACACGGAAGCTATTTATTATTTAGTAGTAGTCGTAGACTCCAAAACATTTTACATTTTGTGATTTTTTAATGTTGTTTTACAAATCTAGACGGTAATGGGAGACGTAGTAAATTAAGCAAAGAATCTGAATGTCAATTCGTAAACAAACAACGTGCGAGGTAAAGCACCATTTATTAACGTAAGAAATGTAGGTAGATAGTAAATACAGTTACTATTTATTAATTTAGACAATATAAAATTATAAACTGCGTTTTAAACCGTTAATAGTGTTTCATTCAATATGTACTACTTGGATGATGATCGCCTCTGTGGCTAAATAGTTAAACGTGATCAACATAATACTAAGTAGTATTGCGTTGAGCGCGAGAGGACCTGGGTTCGAATCCCGGTGAAACCGACCGTACGGATCTATGGTCTATCTATACAAACGGTATGTTCAAATACTTGTCATTTTCGCACGCACGAAACGAAAATCCGTGTTTTTTCGCTCCTATTATGACGTGACATTTTATAGCCTAAAACCTACCTCGATAAATTATCTATCTAATACAAAAAAAAAATAATTGTATCTTGTCTCCCCGTGACCACGGCTGCTGCAAAGCATCCGAAACGTCGGGCCGAAGTTAAACATCATTTCCAAATAAGTTTAACTAATATATCGCGTTTTAAACCGTTAAAGTGTTTTGTTTAAATGTGTACTACTCGCGTAAACTATGGACAGTATTTAATTGTATCTTTTTAAATGATTACTTCAAAACGTTTACTAGTGACCAAACATCAGTTTTATGTATTATAGATTTTCACAATAGCATTGTTTTGGCAAAAAATAACGTAGCTAGTGGATTTGCTGACAATTGAATTACATTCATTACAAAAAGTCGGATTGTCCTGAGAGCAATATATTACCAAGCTGGCGAGCGAAGAGCTACCCAGTATAGGTCAGTTCCTGTCTTCAACAATTAGGATTTTTATACGCCTAGCGATTTATAAGCTTAAGCAAATCGAAAAAGCATATAGAGGAGGACAGATGGGATTTATTTACACCAAAACTTGATTAAACTTGCCGGCTTTTTTGTCTAGGGTGGGTTTTCGGATCTTCGATATCCCTACCGCCTATTTATTATCCAGATTTTATTTTAAAATAAACATGGTATACCTGGTGGGGTTCGAACCCACGATCCATTGATTATTTATTAGGGTACAAAAGTTGATTACCCACCTAAGGGTCGTCCATTAATCACGTGAGGCTTGAAAGGGGGGGAGGGGTTTTAAAAAAATCACGAAAATAACACAAGGGCCCGGGGTGTAGGGGGTGTAGAATATTCAGAAAATTTTAAGATTCTTTGTAGGTACTAAAAATACACGTGATGTTTAGAAGGGGGGAGGGGGGTTGTATTAAACCTCACTACTTCTCACCAATGGGGAGGGGGCGGGGTTTAAAAAAATTCAAAAATAAAGATCACGTGATTAATAGACAACCCCTTATCTGTAAATAAAAGCAATCTCTGAAACGGACACAGATATTATATAATCACCCAATATCCCACGGGGGGGAAATAGAAAAGAATTAAAGAACGTTAGTTTTGCTGTTGGGTTAGCAAATTAAGGATTTCCTCGTGTTTTTTACGGTTACGCGGTTAATGGGCCGCGTACACACGAGGTAATTAATTACTGTCTGTAGTACACATTCAAGTACGTTTTGAGGCAGTTCCAGTTTATAACACGTTTTACACTGTTAAAAGTGTTTTCTTTAAACTATGGATAGTACTTGAATTTTTCGTGTGTATACAGCCTATTAAGATGCAATCGATTTAAATAGATCTCAAGAATGTGAGCCTTCAGCGGATTTAGGAGGTCGGTGGCGAAGGCGACGGCAGAATCTGGCGTTTTGCCAACTCACCCGCACCGGATAATCAATGATCTAACCCGATTATATAAGAACTCGGGACTTCCTGGATGCTTGTTGTCTACACGACGCTAATCTTTTTTTTATGACCCCAGGCTATAGCATCTAAACAAGATATGCTGCCGACCGATTTTGTCTTTAGATTACTCAAATCCACAGACTGAAATGGAAATGCCATTAAAGCTGACGGCTTTTTCATTTGTGGATAGTGGTGGGGACCCATTCAAATCCAGATTTCCAGACGAAGTTCAACATGTTACAAAATATTATTGATTATAAAAGGTTTGGACTCAGTGAGGATCGAAGCCACGATCCGTTTGACTTTAGCCATACATTGCTACCATTGAAATAACAAGCCCGTTAACGAGGTTACTCGACATATACCTAGGTCACCGAAAACCTTAATATAACCAGATCTACATGAAAAGGTCTCAATGAAAAGAATTCAAAACCGTAACTGGAGTTGACTATTTGTTTTGAGCTGCTCGTCTGCCCAGTGACCCGTACGGGCAGGGCCGGGTCACGGCTAATGTATTTACGAGATTTTTATATTTGCCCCGACTCGGAGCGTTCATTTATTGCTTTCGGCTCCGAAATTATGCCCTTTACGACTTTGTAATCCCTTATTACCTTTTATGGTCGTTACTAATGTTTACTGCCAGTCATAATGACGAAAATATATACTGATATAATGTTACTAAGAAATATCTACTTAACATCAATACATTTATTTAAATATACTTTAACGGTTTTAAACGCGATATTTAAACGTTAAGCGTTAAAGACTTTTATTTAAATGTGAACTATTCGCGTTAACTACATTTATTTATTATTTAAAATTATAAAATTAAGTAGCCAAACATAAAAACGTACAGCAGTTTATTTTTGCTGCGTATCACTCGCTACTATACTAATATTATAAAGCTAAAGGGTTTGTTTGTTTGATAACTCTCGGGAACTACCGGTTCACATTGAAAAATCTTTTTGTGCTGGTTGGAGCATTTATCAAGGAAGGATTGAGGCTATAAAACATACACAGAAACGGAGGAGAAGGGGGATAGTTTGAACTATTACTATATTTTATTTAACCTGCTTAAATGTATAAACTGTTTTTAATAGTTATAGATAAATATATATTTAAAGGAAATTTAGTTTCTGCAAGTGTTGATAAATTAATAAAACTAGCATATTCGTTTTATATAAGGTAAAATCTTTTGAAAACTTTAATATTACACTATACAATTTTAAAATCGAAAATAAATTGATTTTTTTTAATAACGTAAAAAATATTAAAGTTTTTAAACGTTGTAACTTTATAATTCCTTCTACAATGATTTTCTTAAGCATAAGACCTTAATAGACTAGTGTTTAGGGTGGAAATTACATTGCGCGAG